TGTTTTATTTTGTAGCTTGTCCCTAATGAATTTTGAGGCATAAATCCTATCTATCCTATCTATAAAAGCTAGAGGTACCGATAAACAGTGTCAAACTGATGTAACGGTGAAAATTTAACTCGACTGATGGTGTCGCATGCATTTACAAAAAACTGGAAACTAAACTTATATTACTTATTTTTAGAGACAATTTAAAAAATTAATATTGCACTTGACTAAATTAATTCAAGAATCTAAATGATCCTAATGATCCTCCAATACAGCTCATTTCCTTCTATCTTCAGCATGGCTAGTTTTTGTACATCATATGTGGATCGATATCGGAAGGTGTTCTTTGTTACCAGATAGAAAAGGTAGCACGATTCGTCTTGAAGTTTTAAGGCGTTTCCAGGGGCTGGTAACTGACATTGACCCCGCAATAATCTTATGGAAATTGAGTTTCTGTCAATTTGTCTGAATTTTTGATATGTGTAGATTTTGTCATCCTGAACAAAAGTCTCCATGGGCACAAAGTGGTCAATTTGTCCAATCTGAATTCAGCGACCTCAAAAACCCAAACTCTCATTGTGAAAAGAAGATATTTACTTTTATATTTCTCGTTGACAGTGAATTGACAGCTGTCAACGGTCAATTTGTTCAATCTGACATGAGGGTTGAATCCAGTGACCTCAAAAACATTACCCTATATATTAGAATAATTAAAATATGCTTTTGACATCTGTAAATAATATTGAAAATGAATAGTTTTGCAACGGGTCAGGGGAGCTTTGGCAGCTCCGTAGCTGCCAAAATATTTATTTTGGCACTTTGGACTTTTGTTCAGGATGACAAAATCTACAACATCAAAAATTCAGACAATTTGACAGAAACCCAATTTCCATAAGATTATTGCGGGGTCCTTCCTGCCTTGGTCACTGTGGATTTCCAAGGGCACTCCAAATTGACAGATAAATTCTTCTATTAACATATCAGCAACAGTTGCGGCCTCTTGATTAGGAATGTTATAGACTTCCCCTACTTTGTAAGATAATCCGTAACCACCAAAATGTATTTATTACCATCCTTGGTCCAGCAATATCTAAGGCGATCCTCTCAACGTTGTTTTGCTTCATAGGAGCCTTCCTTTTTCGTTGAGTTTCATTACTCATAGCACAGGCGGTACATTTCTTACATTAGTCCTTTACATCATCAGAACTATTCATCCAGTAAAACCTTTCCCGAACGCTCTAAAGGGTTTTCTTAACACCGAGATGTCCTTTTGATGGACTGTCGTGTAACTGACGAAGTACTTCGGCTACTCAACTCTTTAGAAAGACCAACTGTCTTCTTTTTTCGAAACCATCATAATTTTCAAGTACTCGCATTAATAAGTCATCTTCCAGAATAAAATAATATCACTGAGCCAAATATGACTAAAGTACTGGAGAGAGATGTAGAGCGACGATTTTACTCTTTCCATTGTCGAATCTTCTTTAAAACGGTATCGTTCTCTTGTCCTTTCCTAATTTTAGCAGCGGTCCACTCATCGTTGACTACAGTTGTTCTTATTAGTCCACTTTCTTTGAATTTCGCTTTACTGCAGTGGGAGCACTCTACTAGACACGGTCTTCTAAACAGAGAATCGGCATTTCTGTGACTTATTCTGGCTCGATGTTTAATCTTGAAGTCGTACTCTTGAAGTCATTCAATACATCTGACGATTTGACCCTCCGGGTTTTGAACTGCATCAACCACTTAAGGGTGGCATGATCGGTACGGATTAAGAATTTCTTTCCACATAGGTATTGGTAGAAGTGTTCCACGCACTTTACAACTGCCAAGGGTTCTCTTCTTGTGATGCAGTATTTTCGCTCAGGTTTTAAAAGCACTTTACTTAAATAACCTAGTACTCTTTCTTTCCCTTTCTGAATCTGTGAAAGCACCCCTCCAATTTCCACATTACTAGCATCAGTATTAATAATAAATATTCTCTCTCTCTATCTATCTATCTGGTAGTGGGTAGCCTAGTATTAGTGCTGTTGCTAAATGCTTCTTTAATGTTTCAAAGGCAGTTTGGCAGTATTGATCGCTTAGCAATATATGCAAACCTTCTAATGAATCTTCGATAGTACGTACATCTCCTAAGAAAACTTCTTATTTGATGTTTATGAGTTGGTTTTGGTCACTATTTGATAGAAGCGACTTTTTTTTATCTGCAGCCACGCCTTCCTTACTGACTATATGACCCAGGTAATTGACTTTATTTTGGAATAGCTGGCATTTCTTGGGGTTAAGCATCAGTTAAGCAGCTAGAAGTCTTTTAAAAACATTTTCTAAGTTCTTTAGATGTTCATCAAATGTCTTCCTCAAGACTATAATGTCATCCAAATATACCAAGCACGTTTTTTATGATAACCCTCTAAATACATTTTCCATCAATCTTTTAAATGTCGCGGGGGCATAACATAGTCCAAATGGCATGCTATTGAGTTGCCACAATCCAGATCCTTGTCTTTTTTCATATCTTGAACAATCCTCTCAGCTTCCTCTCTTTTGGCCTTTGGTTTTCTTCGAGCTGATTGACGAATCAGCCTGGCGTCACCAGTATCAATTTTGTGTTTTATAACAGAAGTTCGTCCTGTTTTTCCGTCTTTTGGTACAAAAATGTCACGATATTTTCGAAGAAATTTCCTTATTTTTTTCTCCAATTGATTTAGAGATTCACCACCAACTGCAATGATTTGGTTGAATTTGTCGTTGGAATTATCAGAAGTTGTTGTCTGACGAATTGTGGATGTTACTGGTACACAAGTTCCAATTCTGGTATCTTTCTTGATGGTTATTGGGTTGATGATTAACGTTTATAAAACAAACTGGAATCTCTTTAGCAGTTTTGACTAACCCCTTTCCAATCGGAATTCCTCGTCCAACCTCTTAATTGTGGTTCCAAGGTTCCATCATTACAGGTGTTCCTTCTTCCATAGTTTCTTGAAGCCGTGCTACTAAACGGTTTTACTTTTTCCAGTTACCACTTTATTCTCCTGTATAGCGACTGGCGCGGTAGTGTCCCCAAATGAATGTAGAAATACTTTTTTGGCACAAACTTTGTTTATTCTGTTCTTAAAGTCTAACTGGAAACCATGTAAGTTCATTACATCCATTGCAAGTATAACATCTGCTTCGAAATCAGCAACAATAACAGTGTGAGTGAACATTTTTGTACCAATTCCCAATTGAACCTGGATTTCCCTTTGGATGTTGGCACCTGTGGCAATTTGCAGTCGCAATTTTGTTGGTAGAAGTCTCTTACGGTTATTTATGATTGTTGGTCGTATATTGGTCCTAGTTGCTCCAGTATCCACCAACAGTGTATACTTTTTACCATTTACTTTGGCGTTTACATATACACTATCATCGCGACATTTCAAAGAGGCTATCAGAATAAGAGGGTCTTTGAAACGGTTTCAGGTCGAAGCTGTCCCTCTAGACCGACCCGCTCTAGTTTTCCTGCGGCGTGTTTTCTTGATTCGTTGTGACCCTTGGACGTTTACATGAACTGCGTACATGTCCTAGTTGACCACAATTCCAGCACCTGATAGTCTTCGTCTTCATCTTTCTGTCAGTAAGGCTCTTCATCATGTTTACCAGTTGGTCGAGTATACCTTCCTCTTCTTCCTCGTTTTTCACGGAAGACATATCAGACGAAACTTTACTTTCTAAGGAGGTAATGTCAGAAGAAACTTTAATTTTTAATGAGGAAATGTTAGAAGAAATATCGGTGTTTATAGAGGTAATGTCGGAAGACGCTTTTTAAGGCAGAGATCTCACTTTCCACGGCAGAAATTGAAGAAATTATTGCAGAAGATGCATTATCCAAGGATTCAAACCTTCACTTTCTAGAGCTTCTTTAAGACGTTCTGCCAGAGCTCTGCTTTCTTCCCTTTTATCTCCAGATCACGATATTCTAGTTATCGACGTAGCTCAGACACTTTTAAATCAAACAATATTTTAGCCATTTTAATTACTATTTATTATTTACACTATCCCATTGCTGTCATAAATGTTACGTTTGTTTATTTTAAACCACAGTTTATTTGTAATTAATTCATTTAAACACATATTTATTTACAATCAATACTATTCTAATTTATATATATTTCGAATGTCTTTAAATTGTGTTCACTATTTATCTTCACAACTATTTGTATACAACTGATTGCTTCGTGTTTCTTCACCAATATTTATGTACACATTTAAAATGCTGCTGGTGGTCTCGAACGTTCTTGCCAAAACTAGAAATATTATTACGTTATATCTGGAATGTAAAGCGCCTTCGCCATAGTCGTTACATATGTTTGGTCTTAAGGGGTTTAATTAGGTATGATAATCGGATAAGTTGAGCTTCAAAGACCAACTAAGACAGAGAGGGACTTAGAGGATTAGAGCATGACTGAATAATGAAACGGCTCGCATTACAATATATCCTAAATTAAAAACGAAAAACAAAAAGCGATAACATGAAATTTTTAGCAAACATTAAGCTCTATAGGAAGAAGAAGCCCTTTGGTTTTAAAAAAATAATCATATGGGGGGGGGGTTAAAGGAAGGTTGAAATTTGTAACGGTTAAAACCGTTTTCGTTATTTAGACCCAAACATTGGAACGGAACGGAAAAAATCAAATCAAAAATAAAAAGCGAAATCAAAATGAAATTTTTAGTAAAAATCAAGCTCTATAAGGAGATAAGGCCTATTGATTGTGAAAAAAAAATAATAAAAGTAGGTGGGGTTAAAAGAGGTTGAAATATTTAAAAAAGGACGTGGATATAGTCTCGTACGTGGGACCCGAAAATTATATCTGAAGTCCCGCACGGGCGGAGTTTATTCACGTCACGCGTTTGCGCGGTCTTCACCTGTGGTCTTCACTCTTCTCTGTTTGTTTTTTGTATCAATGCGTGTTGTATTACCCTGTTACTTACATACATTATTTGTTTTGTTGATCAATATCATCAATTAATTGATAATGGGATCTACATATAATTTAAAAGAAAATGACGCCTTCAGTAGCTATGAAGAGTTAAACAAAGCGATAACACTATATGAAAAACAGAATAGGGTACAATTTTGGAAACGAGATTGCAAAACTTCGGACAATGCTAAAAATCACTGCCCAAAGTTATACAGCAAAGCTAAGGCTGCATTAAAATATTATATTATAAAATACTGTTGCATTCATGGAGGACAATCATTTCGACCAAAACAACCGTTGTCTGTTACTAAACGACGTCTACGTCACAGGTGAGTTATTTCATAGATAGGTAGAGATTAGGTATAAAATAATAAATTCTATATTTTCTTTACAGCACTTTTAAGCAAGGTTGTCTAGCACAAATAAACATTGCTCTATCTGAAGATGGACAATCATTAGTTATCAAAAGTATGATCACTGATCACAACCATGATATTCCAACAATGTGAGTAGAAAATTACATTCCAGAAGTACATTTTTCAAGTATTTTATTTGTTCTATAGGGAAGTATTTAAACAGCTACTGAAATCTGTAATTTCAACTTACAGCACCTTTGATGAGTTCATAGAAAAATTATTTATTTTCGTTAATATCAAACAAACTGAACAAAAGAACGAGTACAGTAAAATGGTGCTAAAAGTACCTAGTAAGGATCTTTCGACGATAAATGTAATGTTTTATAATCATCTAACATACTATGCATATAAAAATATCGCGAAGGATCTAGTTGAAGTTCAATTATCTACTAGTATTCCTTATACATTTAACAGCGATGATTTAACTACTATACGTTGTATAACAAAGAACAAGATGTTTGTAGTTTCAGAGACCACATGTCAATGCAGTTTTTTTATTTCAATGCATCTACCATGTAAACATATACTGTATTATAGGAAATACTTGGGACATGAATTATTTTGTGATAGTCTTTTTAAGGAGGTCCTTTCGCCACACCTCTCGCCTCAAATGTTAAAAAAAAAGTTATTAGATTATGACTAAAATTAATTTTTTTCTAATAGTTGAAGTCCTTATTTATCTAATACTGAACTTTTAACTATACCTTACCTTGCAAATTTTTGAGAATTTTTTTTTTAATGTATTTGTACAGTGTCTCACAAGAAAGTAAGTCCTCAACAACAATTCTCGAATTATACTATTATTTATTGATTAGATGGAGTAGAAAAAAACTAAAAATAAGATTTTTGAAATATTTAGATTTTGTTTTATACAATAAAATATATATAGTAAACTGTGGAACTTATTGAGAAATTAATATTAAAAAATCACAAAAAATTTTCAAGTAACCTAGATTTTTTAAGAATAATTTCTCAATAAATTCCACGGTAACCTATATATTTTATTGTAAAAAACAAAACCTAAATATTTCAAAAACCTTATTTTTAGTTTTTTTCTACTCCATCTAATCAATAAATAGTAGTAAAATTAATTATAATTCGAAAATTGTTGTTGAAGTCTTACTTTCTCATAAGACACTGTACAAACACACACATTTAAAAAAAAATTTTTCTCAAAAATTTGCACGGTAAGGTATAGTTAAAAGTTCACTATTAGATAAATAAGGACATCTACTATTAGAAAAAAATTAATTTTAGTCATAATCTAATATTTTTTATTTAACATTGGTGGCGAAAGGACCTACTTAACAGTAGATGGACTAGAGAATACATTAAAGATTTCTACAGTGGTTCATTACAGAATTCCAGAACGGAGACTGAACTAGAGCAACTTACGACATTAATAAGTTATTCCTCAAATACACGCCAAAAGAAAATATTGAATTCGCATGAAAAATTTGAAAAGGCTCAAAGTATTTGTCTTAATTTATCCACTATGTGTAGCGAAGTTTCAACGTCAGAATTTAATGAAAGGATGAGTATACTACTTCAATTACAATGAAGTTGGCAAAATCTTGAAAAAGTGCAAATAATAAATAATTCCGAAAATGCCCAAAACTTAAACAATTTGGATTTGAACGAAAGATTTTCAGAACATAATTTTTACAGTAATAATAGTGACGTGCAACATGACTGCCAAAACATCAATAATTTGGTATTGAATGAAGGATGTTACATAGATTCCTCGCTGGAGGTGATTTCCAGTGGGAATCTATTACCAAGAAGTTACGGGGTTCTATTAAAACAATAATTATCTGATTGTACAGCTGTATAGGATTCCTTTATTTATGAAGAGTTGATAATTATGTACAAGAAAAAAAAAAAAGAAACCAATTTCAAATCCTTTTTCAATAATATATATATACAAGGTCGGTGGCTGATAACTTGCTAAGATTAGATCATATAAGAGGTAGAGATTTTCTCAGTCCAGTGTATTTTATATCAATGATTAATTAACTTTGTAATATTTTAGAAAAAGAAGAATGTATAGGTTATGTTTTATGAATAAAAAAAAATGAAATGCACTTATTTAAAGAATATTATAAATTTTACCGATATAGTATATATACTGTATGGTTTACATCATATCGTAAGTCATGCGATTAAATTATGTATACTTAATATTTACAATTATAACTTTTTACAGTTTTCCCGGCCTGTTTCCGGAAGCAAATTATTGCTTAAAGCAGAGGGTAACAACCAAATTAATACATAAAAAGGAGTTAATTTACTTGTGTTGTCCCTTTATCTGTTTGTCCCAACCCCAGAGAACAAAGACGTGGTTGAAAAAGTTGTTCGATAACCTTTAATATGACTACAGGAAGATATAGCCTACTATCCCTAAGTTAATCATTGAATAGCAAAATAGACACGATTATATATTTATGAGAGGCATGCAAGCTTATCTGTGTGTGTTTGGTCCTGGAAGTTCTGCATTCACGTGGCCAGAGTAGGTCCCAGATCGAAGCAGGTAGGTAGTAGCTTCGTGTACATGCAGGAGTATCCTTCAGGATCTTAAAGCGGTGGGTACTGCGGGATGGATATATAAAAGCAGGTGTACATGCAGGAGTCCAAAATACCTTTTACCATAGGCTTGGAGCCGAGTAGATATATTCAGCGAGTAAAGGTACAAATCGTAACCAAAGAAAAAAAAAAGGTCTACAAAGAGAAAATACATTGTTAGCACTCTAATATAAGGAATATTAAATAAAGAAAATAGCAGAAATTGTTAGTTTGACCTACCTTGGCTGGTGGATGACCTTAAAAGGTGAGAAATAATATCTTTTATCTTTTAAATTTTTAAACAAACATCCTCATAAAGAGATTCTTCGTTTGTATGACAAACCGAAGTAAAATATATTTAAAAATTCAAAGATTTTTGGAAATATCCGCAAATTGCGACAATGTGACTATTCACATCAAAAAGTCCAAAGATAAGAGAATCAATTTTTTTTTTCCTCATTCAATTTCTCACCAAAATCTAGTGATTTTGAATTTTAAAAATATTGTAGGTACTGGTAAGCAGATTTTTGGTGTTGCTGAGGTAGTCTACCAACTTCTGTGAAGGGGAGCCAGAAAAGAAGAATTGTGACAAGGTAATTAGAACAAAGTTGAAAAATCCAAAAAGAAGAAGATGAAAATAAACATAAACCTCCTGGTATGATAACAGAACTCCTTTATAAATAACGCCTCAATTCACACATATTTCTAAATCCAAAAGGTCTGATATTTGATTTTTTACAATTATTTAAGATATATAAGACTGATAAAATCTCATCCCTAATATATTTCTAATGTGGCAAAATAAAACCGTTACAAGGACTTGCAGAACATGATTATTATAGTATTAATAACTTACCAAAACAGGATTACCAAAATACTGACATTATCAACGAAAGTGTTATTGACAGTATACTGGAACCAGATTTTTTTCAATCTGTAGAGATAGAAGAAGTTATCTGTGATATGAATTATTCAGAAATTGTTGATGATGGATCTTGTTTACACAACATATGTTTGCCGGTATGTACACAGTTTACTTTTATGAACATTACATAGAATATTAATCACATCATATTTTTAGGAACCAATAAAAAGTCGAGGTAGGCCCAAAGAAAGATCACAACGGCCATTGGTTTACCAAAAAAGAAAAAAACGGACAAAGTAATAATCCTTCAAGATTAAAATAAACTACCTATACCTACTGCAAATTGATAATAATAATTTTATCTTTAGAAAGATTTACCTACATTAAATTTCGTTCAAATTATTGTTGACTTTTATTAAATAATTTGACTTCCCTACCTCTTATACCCTTTTAGAAGTGTGGTCGTAATTAACGCCCATTAATTTATTAATGCAATTTGCAGATAAATACTAAGTACCTACTTATACTTAGATATATAATCTTGTCATTCATAGTTTAACAGACCCGCCCTTAACTCCCTAATTTAACCAGATTTTTTTCAGAATCAATAGGCGTTATTGATTCTTCCCGAAGATTTCAAATTCATATTGTTTTTTGTTTCAACGGCCCCCTCCTCTCATTTATACCTATTCAGATTTTTCAGAATTAACAAGTTTCATCCCCTTATAAAGATTGATTTTGACTATAAATTTCATGTTGATATCTCTTCTCGTTTTTTAATTCCATTTTTTTTATTTCAATTCCCTTATCCCACCCATTTTTATTCAGATTTTTTCAAAATCATTAGACTAGACTTCGTACCCTTATACAGAACTCGATTTTTGATAAAATTTCAGGTTGATATGGTATTTAGTTTTTACATAAAGATTGTTTTTAATATTTCAACCTCCCTTAATGTCTTCCTATTTTTATTCAGATTTTTTTTTTTCAGAATCAATAGTCTTCATCCCCTTATGAACCTTGATTTTGATTAAAAATTTCATGTTTCGTTCATGATTTATTTTTTAATTTCAACCCCCCTTAACCGGCAATGTAAAGAGTTTAATAATAGGACCTATCTAAATACCTCGACCGACTGCCGTATTTATATTTTTTTAAATCGGTTAATACGACTTTTCAGTTCCCATAGAAAATTGTAGAACCGAACTGCGCAAACGCGCGATTTAACTCCGCTTGTGCGTGATTTCAGAAGTAATTTTCGGATCCCACGTACGGGACTATATCCACGTCCTTTAAAAAAAGTTAAACTCAAAAAGAAATAATAATATCAACTAGGAAATTTTTGGAAAACATCAAGCTCAATAAGGGGAGGCAGCCTATTGATTCTAAAAAAAAAAAATCATTGAAAATGGGAGTCAAGGGGGATTTGTTAAACTGTGAAGACTATAACTTACAATGCCACGCATTATATATCTTCATTCTAGTTGGTATCTGGGTAGTGTTATGTATTGTGATGGGACTGATTATATAAAATAAACATTTTAGTTCACTTGGTTTATTTGTCAATAAAACGGATTTAAAAAATATATTATTTTATTTGACATGCGTGAAAAATTATGAAAATGATTAAATTTACAATAAAAATCGAAAAGTGGCAGGTAAAGTTTCATATAATATTTTTTACACCAAAAACAATGTCAAGCTATGTACATAATCTGATATATATTTAAAAATAATCTCAAAATATGAAGAAAAGACAGCTGACTATAATTAATAATGTTTATAAATGGTTTTCAGCGTATTAATAATAAAACAAATATTACAATAACTAAAACATTCATTAATATTTGTAGTGCTTGCAAAGAGTATGATCTCGATAATAATAACTACACTTATTATAAACCCAAATAAAAAAAAAAACAGCGATCTAGGCGCTTGTAAAAAGTTTTGAACCAATCTTACAAATGATAAAATTATTGGAAAAAGTGAACACCCTTTTTAAATTACTATAAGCCGTCACTGCTCTTCATTGAAGTAAAACGAAAATAAATTGATTTATTTTGAGAATAAATACTTATTAGAACATGAAACCGTCAGTTATATGTGATTATTCTTTATTTAAACATTGTCGTGTTTTGAATTAACAGTAATTTTCTTTGTTTAAAAATATATTTTAAAAATAACTACACCAAAATCAGTATTAAATTAACAAGTAAGAATAATATCTATATCTATATCTATATCTATAGTTTGTAATTGGTCAGATTATGTGAAAATGTTAAGATAAGCAAAATAGTTACAATAATTTTTGAATCTGCCACCTTTTTTTGGTTTTAAATGGAAGTAAAATATTATCCTATACAATTCTCTGTAAACAATATTTTGGCGTTATATATTATTATTATACTGTAGACCAGACGTCTCCACTGGTTTCCTTAAAATAGGACAAAAACTAATGGACCAACTGACCGAAAACTGGCCTAGGGTTAGTGAGAATATCACTATTTATGTTGATGGCAGACATTTTTCATGCGTTGAGAGATCTCCATTGACTAAATCTGACTGTTCGGTGGCCAAACAAAAGTTATCAGCCTCAAAACTCTCCGACAAAAATGCCGAAAACATAAATAAGCATTCTGGAGCTCGACTCTGATGTTACTGTAAATACCGCGTTTTATAATAACACAGATGTTTATGACGACCTGGCCTTTTTATTAAAATATTCGATGTCTTATTTTACTGTTACAAGCCGACTCTCAACTGCTTGAATATATATTTTTTTTATGAAAAATTACCGTGAAGCGGATTGTATACAGATTTAAATTAAAATATATGAAATTTCGTTGTACCTGAAAAATGTTTCTACAGCTGCATAGATATTCTATTAAAATTACTATCTTAGCTTTTTAGGAAACGCCTACAAAGATAATAGTAGGTAATTTATAATTTTATACATAAAATTATACCTAATATCGATCGATCCGCAATTTGTATCTAAATATTTTACTATTAGGTCCCTGAATATTTATTTTATGATTTATTTCTTTTATCTCTTACATTACCTACTTTATTTATTAATATTGATTAATATACCGGGTGATTCATAACTATAGGGTAGGTTATTTGGACCAAAATATGGCGATAGGGCTAAAGATACCTTAATAAAATATTGTTTTGAAATAATAATATATGATCTCATAGCAAAAATAATTAACTGACAAGAAATGACTTATGTACCAGACATAATTATCTGATACTGCAAAGCACACTGTTATATAAATATTATCTACACTTTTGTGCTGTCCACTACGACACTGTTATGTTATTTTCGTTATATAATTGTCATTACTATTGTCAGTTATATGGTTGTATTTTCAGCTTATTAAAGCCTATAATTCTGAGGTTTTCTTTATTACAATTTAATAAGCTGAATAAAATGGATAAACTCTTGAAGCCCGAACGCTTAGATATCGATTTTACCTCCAGCAATTCTGGTCATCGTTGGACTCACTGGTATCGAACTTTTGTTAACTTCCTAAAAGCTGCTAAAGTTGAATCTAATGAAGACAAACTGAACTTACTGATAAATTATGTAACTCCTGCAATATTTGAACACATTAATGAATGTACGTCATATGATGATGCTATTACGATTTTAATAAATCTATTTGTCAAACCACCAAATGAAATATTTGCAAGACATTCCTTATCTACAAGAAAACAACAAGTAGGTGAATATATTGATCAATATTTACAAATTCTTAGGCAAATGAGCAAAGATTGTAATTTTAAATCCGTAACCACAGAACAAAATAGAGACGATTTTATCAGAGCAGAGCAGGTCTCATTTCTTCGCATATCAGACAGCGACTTCTTGAACATACTTCCTTAAATTTAGAACAAGCATTCGATTCTGCTAGGTCTTAAGAAATGGCCCAACACCATTCAGAGTCTTACCTTACTCCCTACAATTCCTATGCAAATGCTGCACAGTCAAGTAATATTTCTGAAAACAAATCCCATTCGTTTTCTAATGATACTAACATTCATTCTGAAGATGATTCTACTATTGCTATTACAGTTTCTAAATGCTATTTCTGTGGCAAAAATAAACATCCTCGAGAAAAATGCCCAGCAAGAAACTCCCTCTGTTATTCATGTGGTAAAAAGGGTCATTTTACACAAGTATGCAAGTCTAGAAATCAAAAACAATCAAGTTTTATTAATAAAACTTCTGCTGCTATACTTGGAACAATATCAGCCTCTTCACTTAGCTGTTTATCAAAAGCATTATTAAAAATAGAAGTTAATGAATACGTTGCTGAAGCACTGATAGACACCGGAAGTTCAGATAGTTATATATTTCCAGTAAGTTTGTAACTGAAAAAAATATCAAAGTTTTTTCAACTAATGTAAATGTAACAATGGCATCATCATCTTTGAGCTCCACTATTCGTGGATTCTGTGTTGTGCAACTGAAAATATTGAAGTTTATTTATAAAAGTATCCGACTATTTATTTTGGAAGAACTTTGTGCCGATGTAATTATTGGTCACGATATTCTTAGACAACACTCAGGCGTTGATATTTTGTTTGGGGGAAACAGGTTACCCATTTTCCGTATGTAATTTAGCTATAGCAAATGTAGACCCGTATCCATTATTTGCACATTTAACATCCGATTGCAAACCAATTGCTATAAAATTTCGAGGATATTCTCCAGCTGATTCGAAATTTATTGAAGATGAAGTACAACGTCTTTTAAAAGAAGAAATAATTGAACCAAGTAATTCACCATGGAGAGCACAAGTGGTTATAACTCATAACGAATATCATAAGAAACGAATGGTTATAGACTATTCACAAACAGTCAACAGATTTACACTCTTAGACGCTTATCCTCTGCCACGTATTGAAGATATGGTAAATAAAATCTCACAATATGAATATTTCAGCACTGTAGATCTTCGCAGTGCTTATCATCAAATACCAACCTTAGAACACGAACGAATCTATACTGCATTTGAAGCATGCGGGAACTTGTATCAGTTCACTAGAATACCGTTTGGTGTGACTAATGGTGTTGCTTGTTTTCAAAGAAACAAATATTATTATCAAAAATGAAAGATTGGAGGATACAAATGTATCCAACTTATCTTGATGATGTAACTATCTGTGGTAAAACTAAGGAGCATCACGAAAGAAATCTTCAAAGATTTTTATATGTTGCTGACAAATACAATTTAACGCTTAATAAAGAAAAGTGCAAATTTGGTATGACTACAATAAATATTCTTGGCTATACTATCGAAAGTAAAACAATAAAACCAGATTCTGATCGACTTCAACCTCTTATCCAATTGCCATTGCCAACGAATGCAGCTGCTCTTAAACGAGTTCAAGGTATGTTTGCTCATTATTTCAATTGTATACACAAATTTTCAGAAAAAATACATCCGCTTATCCAAGTTAAACAATTTCCGCTTTCTGAAACTGAAGTCTCAGCCTTCAAACAATTAAAGAATGACATATTATGCTCGGTTGTCACTTCCATTGACGATAGTGACATATTTACTGAAGAGACTGATGCGTCCGATTTCGCTATTGCTGCTCAATTAACACAATCAGGAAAGCCTGTTGCATTTTTCTCTAGAACCCTATCCAAGTCAGAACAACGACATTCTTCTGTTGAAAAAGAAGCGTATGCAATAGTCGAAGCTTTGCGAAAATGGAGACACTTTCTGATTGGAGGTTATTTTCGACATGTCACAGATCAGAGGTCTGTTGCTTTTATGTTTGATAATAAAACTAGCTCTAAAATTAAAAATGAAAAAATAATGCGTTGGCGTTTAGAGATGTCATGTTATAAATATGACATATTGTATAGGCCTGGAACAGAAAACACGAGAGCAGATGTTCTTTCGAGGGTATCTGCAGCCATTTTACCTTCAACTTCTACAAAAACTATATTCTTTACATAACTCTCTATGCCATCCTGGGACCACTAGATTTTATCATTGGATCCGTTGTAAAAATTTGCCTTATTCTTTGGAGGATATAAAAAGAATGACTTCATCCTGTCCTGTCTGGGCAGAAATAAAGCCAAGATTCCATAAAAATCAGGGAACTCTAATTAAAGCTAAGTCTCCGTTTGAAAGGCTGAATCTTGACTTCAAGGGACCACTTCCGTCAGAAAATCGCAATCGTTATGTATTGACTATTGTCGACGAATATTCAAGGTTTCCTTTTGCCTTCCCTTGTCCAGATGTTTCTTCATCCACAGTAATAGACTGTCTTACAAATCTTTTTTCTGTTTTTGGTACACCATTATATATACATACGGATAGAGGAACAGCTTTTATGTCTGATGAATTAAAAACGTTTTTGTCCAGCCATGGATCTGCAACTAGCCGTACTACACCTTACAATCCTAAAGGTAACGGACAATGTGAGCGTTATAATGGGATAATCTGGAAAACTATTCAACTAGCCTTAAAATCTAGAGATTTAAAAATTAGTCAATGGCAGCAAGTAATCTTAGATTCTTTACACTCAATTAGATCATTATTATGTACCGCTATAAATTTTTCTCCCTATGAACGTTTATTTAGCCATCCTCGACGATATTTGAATGGTTTCTCAATACCTAGTTGGTTAAGTAGTAGTGATGGGCATAATCGAATGAATTTCGTATTCGAATATTCGAATGATAAAAATATAAATAATCGAATGATCATTCGAATTCTCTTCTTCTTATTTACATTTGTATTTAGAGGTAAAAAAGAAGAAAAAACTTGGTTATTTTATGTTTGATTTTTTATTTTGTTTTATATTGAAAATTTAGCGTGTCAGTTATCAAAAGAGTCAATATTAAGTTTGCTCACAAAATGCTCACAATCTGCCACTGCTCTACTTTTACTCCACATTTCTTTAAATGCTTACAAATGTGAGCAATTGCTCACACATTGGCAACGCTGTATATTATATACTTTTACCCACGGTGGACTATAAGGTGCATCAACTCCTATTTAAAAACAAATGAAAACGGCGATAAAACCGATCGTACTTTCTAGCTAAAATCCGCTAGGTTCGCTAGTATCTATCCGGCGAGAAAGTAAATAAAAGATAAAAGTAGGAGCTGCAATTTAAAAAGTGTTGACAGATAAATATTTTTTAAAATCTTAAAATATATAAATCATGGTGGATCGTTATGCTGTTTTTAATTGTGATTATGGGAGAGAGTCTTCAAAATATTAATAGCAGTTTTATAATGCCAAAAAACAGTTATACAGAATATGGTGCAAATTATTGGTGGTATGAAAATAAACATTAAACCCAAAAGTTCCATTTGTGAAAAACATTTTAATGCAAATTATGTTATCCGTGAAAAAGTGCTAAGAAATCTACTAGGAAACGTTATTTTTCAAGTAAATATGTTTAATATCTACGTTTTAAATGATTGTAGGTTATGTAAATAGGTTATTCAACTTTGTGTTTTCTGTAATAAAAATAATTATTAGTATAAAGTTTTACTATATAAATATTTCGTATTATTTATCCTGTCTCCTTGGTACTAATAATGTTATGACTTGGACCCTATTATAATGTGTTCATGATATAAATTTCATATACACAAGGTACCTATTTCTTCTG